AGAAAGGGGGATTGGGGGACAAAAGGGAAGAAACTTCACTTCTCCATCTCTTCCTGGGAGCCACAATCAGGAGACCCATATGATCAATGGCTAGCATTCTCTCAGGGCCCAGAAACCCCAAGAAAATTATACCATTCATGCAATCAAAATTCCTTTTTAATAATTAACACTTTTAAATGCTATATTTAGACAGTCAAATATTGTTCCACTTCTTTTAAGCTGTAAATGAAGCGTATCTTTTGTGAAACTTTTGGCATTTATCTTGTCTTCTAAATTGTGCAAAAAGTACAAAAAAGACTTGCATAGTTGTCCTAGCATTCAAAGGGAAATTATTTTTCCCATTCACAATCCTGAGTTAATTGTTAACACTTGTTTCTTCAGAAAGTCAATTTTTATTGATGCTTTCTACTAAAAATGGGAATCCTGATAGAGAAAGCCTGGGACTCAGCTCAGTAAATCTGAGTCTTGACAATAATATTGGCCATCATTTATTAGCTATTACTTAACTCTCCCAGGTCTCTATCTTTTAATATGGTAAAATGTGCACAGCAGTCTCTTTCAGCACCCACCAAACCCCTCCAATTCCATATACTTAATAAAACAGAAGCACAGATAAGAACTATCACTTCAAGGCAGTTTCTCATTCCCTCCAGGCTATAAAGAGTTAAGTGTATTACAGGAGAATGGACACAGCCTGTCTACTAGTAAAACTCATGTTCAGATCCTCCTCCTAACAGCCCAAGGCAGGTGTACACAGGGTTAAAGGAAGACGTGTCTACTAGCCCCTGGACCCAGCAACTATCAGAGAAGTACAGCACCAATTCACAAGTAAGCCACAGAAAAAGCACCATCCTTTGTTCTCAGTTTAAAAGCTTCTTCTTATATAACTAAAATCACTTAAGAGTCAAAATTACCAAGACCAGATTGAGAAGAAAGCAGACTAAGAAACTGCCCTGCACCCCAGGAAGCTACAGGCTACTGGAGAGGCATAGGTGTTGGAAGGCAATTTTAATTCACACTGTTGATAAGTAAAGCTAACCACCTTCCACAGCTATAGGTTCCACACCTGCAACAACCATCAACTGGAAATATTTGAGGGAAACAAAACCAAAAAACTACACCTGTTATGAACATACACAGATTTTCTGTCCTTTTTTCCTAAACAATATAGTGCAGCCACGATTTACAGAGTGTGACAATGTATTAGATATCTTAAGTGGTCTAGAGACCACTGAGAACATACAGGATACCCAGGTTAACATCAAGCACTGTGGCATTTAGACAAGGGACTCTGGGAGCTGTGTATGAGGGAAGTGTGTATCAGAGTCCTATGATTGATGTTCCCCCAAGCCTTCCTTAAGGGGTACTTTTCAAAGTGGATATTTTTTGTTTTGTTTTATCTTCAGTTAATCAGTTACAGGAGTATAACAAATCTGAAAACTGTTTCACATGAAATGTGCAGGCTCCAACCTCCCCATAGTGCCAATGAATGTTAATAAACAAGCAGTCTCTCTACACAGAGGGGCAGACCTAGTAAGCCACATCAGGCGAGACTTAGCAGAATACTCCAACGGTGGTCCCAATGGGTACTGTTATACCTAAGCAGCCAGGAGCCAGCTCCTGACCTCAGGCTGAGTTATGGGGTTTGAGATCAGTCAGCACCCAAACTTTGGGAGATTAAATTGCCATTTGCTGGCAGCCTTGCCTTCGGACCCAACTAAGATGGCAGAGATTGACTAAAATGAAATGTAAAGTTTTCAGCAAGAGGGTCCATTTATACACAACACCTGCCCTGGTATCTAGTCACCGTCCAAGATGTTTTCCTCAAAACAGAAACTGATCTAGCTCGTACAGCATCAAGAAGAAGAGAAAGCCGATCTGTCCAGTCCTAGAGCACATTCCTTAGCCTCATGTCCTGAGGCTAAGACAGAGGTGGGATGGCTTTTTCCACAGCCAATGCATGGGGGTCCCTAACACCAGTCTCCTCAGTCAGTTAACCTCCTTCCTCCCCATACTGGCAAGACCTTAGAAATTCACTAAGACTCCATGAGGCAGGGCAGGGGGGTTGGGGAGTTTCTAAAAACAGCAATGGCACACTCCCTGGTGGACACTGGAAAGCTGAAAGTAGCGGGGCACATCTGCCGGGTCCATCCCTCTCTGAAACATTATACACTTCAAATTAAATCCAGAGACTTGGTTGCTGGGCTGACTCCCAAACCAACTCTGAACAAAACTGGACTGGTCAGGATTCTTCTGGCAAACAACAGAAGGGGCCAATCAAAACTCTTGGCTCTGCCAAAAAAAAAACACGCTACAGCCTTTTCCTTAAAGGGAAACACTTAAAGGAAGCAGGGGG